TTCAGACTAACACAGGGTTCTCTTCCCTTAAACGGCTAATTCATAATGAGGATGATTATTCACATTTATATGTGTTATGTACAGTTACCAGGTAAAGCGGTAAATACTTAGTCATCAGTAGCAGTTAAAAGATTAAAAAAGTAAATTGATGTGAAATAAAGCTTATTGTAAATCACTGTATAGTTATTAGTCTGTTAGAAACCCTGTGCAAAGTAAAGGGAAGAAGATTTGGCAGCAGAGAGCAAGGACAGAGCAATCTGGTGTCTATGTGACATCAGGAGACAATGCAGTAATGGCGTAGATGATATCGTTTAAATCTGCTATGGTAACCAATTATTAAGTATTTCAATGTAATTGTAGCTGATGATCGTTGGGTATCTAAATATAATGGTAACCAATGATCATTGAGTATTTTAATGCAATGGTAACCAGTGATTGTTGAGTATCTAAATATAATGGTAACCAATGATCATTGAGTATCTGAATGTAATGGTAACCAGTGATCATTGAGTATCTAAATGTAATGTTAACCAATGATCATTGATTATCTGAATGTCCTTCCGTTCCGCCTCTCCTCAGCGCCAAGGACCTTTTCCAAGATGTTTGTGTCAGTGATCGCGCTGTTGCGGTTGAAGAATGTAAGAGTGTTTATTATCTGGACGGTGTCCTGCTATTGGCGCTTATTTATTTATAAACTATTCTTAGTTTATTCTGGGAGATCCCCGGTAAGAAGCCCCCCATGAGTCCGACTTACCATGCCCTCCAGCCTGTAACCTTTTAGGTTCTCTCCGGCCATAAAGCTCGGCACTGCCAATGAGCCCAAGGGACCGCTGGAATTGAAGATGAAAGCACTCCCAGAAACGAGAGACATTGATGCGCCGAGCAGGTACAGGATGCCATGAGACGCCCGGCTAATCGGCTGATGCGAGACACCGCCTGTCCCACTGCTGCAGGAACGAGTACTGGATATGGCGCATGTGCCAATGAGCCCAAGGGACCGCTGGAATTGAAGATGAAAGCACTCCCAGAAACGAGAGACAGTGATGCGCCGAACAGGTACAGGATGCCATGAGACGCCCGGCTAAGCGGCTGATGCGAGACACCTTTTCCTTTGGAAGAAAAAGACGAGATGTTTCCGAGTTGAAAATCATTCCTAGGTACTGCAGTACCCGTGCTGGAACCAGCTGGCTCTTTTGCCAGTTGACCAACCACCCATATTGCTGGAACGTGCTCAGTACCAGCTCGCGATGCTGCAGAATCTGTTGTTGTGATTGAGCCAATTATAACCAATGATCATTGAGTATCTGAATGTAATGGTAACCAATGATCGTTGGGTATTAGAATGCAATGGTAACCAGTGATCGTTGGGTATTTGAATGTAATGGTAACCATTGATCATTGAGTATCTGAATGTAATGGTAACCAATGATCGTTGGGTATTTGAATGTAATAGTAACCAAAGATTGTTGAGTATCTGAATATAATGGTAAACAATGATGAAACAATGGTACAAATGGTAAACAAGGGTATTTGAAAAACCTATTGAAACAGTGATGCGATTGCTGTGCCCCTACAAATAAGCACATTTTTATCATATGTTTGTGAACTCTGTATCTTATAGTGAAATGTTTGATGCTGAATATGTATATAATAAAGTAAGACTTTCATAACAATGCACTCCAGGCAAAAATAAAAGGCACACACCAATTCAGCTCTTTAATTATTAGTATATTGTTAAATGTATTTTTTTTATATCATATGAGCAGCCATTAACCTTTTGCAATCTACTGTACAGCTGAGTTCAGAGAGATGGAAGAGGGAGAGGCAGCACAAGGAGCTTTTCAGCTGTGTTGCAGTGCAAGGAGCATGCTGATAGGTGGAAAGAGTAGAGTAGAGTAATGATCGAGTACCAGCCTTTAATACCTCTATTACTAGGCCATTTTTAGTGCTGTGATCATTTGAGTGACAATTACCCGGTCACACAACACTGCACCCAAGTGAATTTTCATATCTTTTTTTTTTGTTTGTTTTTTTGGACCGATAGAGCTTTTTTTGGTAGTATTTAGTGCCAGTTCAGCGCGGCCTGAACGCAAGACAACACAAATGGCCTTCCTTTTTGGTGCTGTATCCACTGTGCTGGCTATGGTGTGTGCTGCTGTTTGCTAGACAAAATGTGCAAAATGTGGTATTTCATGTTGTGTGCTATGTCCACAGTGCTTGGTATGGGGTGCAGTATAAAGCTGAGCCAGTGGAATGTTAAAGCCTATCTTCAAGATTGTAAAAAGTATATAATAAAATCAGTGGCCTACCCATTTATACATAAAAAGAATAGTTGCTGTAATAGTCCACTTCGGCGCTCTCCCTCAAAGACTCACCACCATTCACCCAAGACAGTGTCAGTCCTATTCTGAGTTCAGTGGCACCCAGGATTTTTTAACTCACATCCTATTAGCCCAGAACATGATGGACACGCCCCCCTGGAAGTGAGTTATCACACTGGTCAGGGCTCCAAGTACACATTATATACACATTATGTGAGCACAACAATGTCCAGGAGAAAGGAATGCCCACTGCTGTCAGTGGACCAGCAAGGAAGACTGCAGGAAAAAAGTAAGTACACTTTATTGCCAAAAGTATTGGGACACCCCTCCAAATCATTGGATTCAGATGTTCCAATCACCTCCATGGCTACAGGTGTATAAAATCAAGCACCTAGGCATGCAGACTGCTTCTACAAACATTTGTGAAAGAATGGGTCGCTCTGATGAGCTCAGTGAATTTAAGTGTGGTACCGTGATAGGTTGCCACCTGTGCAATAAGTCCATCCGTGAAATTTCCCTGCTACTAAATATTCCACAGTCGCCTGCTAATGGTATTATAACAAAGTGGAAGCAACTGGAAACAACAGCAACTCGACCACGAAGTGATAGGCCACGTAAAATGACAGAGGGGGTCAGAGGATGCTGAAGCGCAGAAGTCGCCACCTGTCTGCAGAGTCAATAGCTACAGACCTCCAAACTTCATTGTGCCAAGTGTAAAGTTTGGTAGAGGGGGGATTATGGTGTGCGGTTGCTTTTCAGAGGTTGGGCTTTGCCCCTTAGTTCCAGTAAAGGGAACTCTTAAGGCATCAGCATACCAAGACAATTTGGACAATTTCATGCTCCCAACTTTGTGAGAACAGTTTGGGGATGGCCCCTTCCTGTTCCAACATGACTGCGCACCAGTGTACAAAGCAAGGTCCATAAAGACATGGATGAGCGAGTTTGGGGTGGAGGAACTTGACTGGCCTGCACAGAGTCCTGACCTCAACCCGACAGAACACCTTTGAGATGAATTAGAGCGGAGACTGCGAGCCAGACCTTCTCATCCAACATCAGTACCTGACCTTACAAATGCGCTTCTGGAAGAATGGTCAAACATTCCCATAGACACACTCCTAAACCTTGTGGATGCCTTCCCAGAAGAGTTGAAGCTGTTATAGCGGCAAATTATAACCCAGTGGATAATAATGTGTAACTTCAACTGTTGGAAGTAATTTTTCACACAGATATTTTTCCTGGAGAAAATGGAAACAGATATTTCACTGTGTTTTTACAGGGAGATTTCATAGAGTAGACTATGACGAGTCCCAGTGTGGCAGTGAATGTGAGGACAAACAGATGTCTCGCTGCCTGTTTATTTGGTGAGATATCTGTCTGTCTTTGCCAAGTCAAAGGGTGGCCATAGATGAGCAGTTCCCTCACTAAAAGCAGCCTTGTGGAATCCCGTCTGTGCCGTCACCTGCCTCAGTCTTCAGATGGCATTACAGTATGGAGCACAAATGTGGTAAAAGCCTCCAAAGGATCCAACAGATGTCAGAACATCTCTGTATTCAGTTTCCACCACTTCTGATGCTCAGGAGACCTTAGTAGTCAACCTCTACACTGCCTAATTGTTCATTCATTTATAAACCTGTCACACTTGCTTTAAAAAGATAAGAAAGAACTTTAATATTGTTACAGGAGTATTGCTTTTTGAAATACTGACCGCATAATATTCCTTTATTTCACATATTTACGATGTGTGCCCAAGCTTACTTTTTAATTAGGCAGCGCAAAAATGATATTCAGCTTAAAGTATACTTCTGGTGTGTTATAAGATTGTCCAGCTAGCTCTTTGAATAGTGAGCATTTTTAAGTGCTTTCATGTATTTTCAGCTTTTTTTTTTCACGTTTTAAGCCTGCAAAGAGTTAAAGAAGCTGAAACTGTCAGCCTGTCCAATCTGCAGAAAAGCACAGCTCACCCCCTGATGAATGCCTTGCATCTCATACTCTGTGCACGAAGGACCCCTTTTCCAGAAGTAGATCACATAAAATAGGATAAACTGCCGACACTAAATATTCCTTTAAAAGCGTACTTTATTCTTCACGCATCCGAACAGTAGGCAACTGGTGACGCGTTTCTGCCTTAAGCAGCCTTAGTCAAGCTATGACTAAGGCCGCTTAAGGCAGAAACACGTCTGTAATGTATCGATGTGTGAAGAATGCAGTTTTCTTTTGGAGGAATATTGAGTGCCAGCAGTTTATGCTATTAAACTGCCAGCCTGTTTGGCAAGTATTTAGCCCCACACCTTCTCGCCACCTTGTTGTCTAATAAAAACTAACTTGTAGCATTTCAGTTTATTGTATTGATTGTGGTGACAGGTGATGATCGCAGTGGATTATTGTAGATACTGTAGTTTCTCTTATTAGAAAGGCGCATCTGTCAAACCGCGTTTTTTTCTGAATTCACAGCATGCCAACTCCGGGGCAGTGTAGGAGGACCTGTTCTGCTTCACTATGTGAGCTATACTGCCCTGGAACTAGTATGCAGCATAGTAGTCAAAAAATAGCTTCTATCTAAAGAGGGGGCTTATATATTTCACCTCTTACCACAGTCCTCATAGAATGTACAAGATCTTGGCACGTTTACTTACAAAGTTCACTTTTAACTTTTGTTTGTCATATTTTCTCATGTCATGTAGAGATAAGAGCCCAAGTCAACCATTTGCTACCCTATACAAAGAACATCTAAAGAAAGCAGCCATGGGAAACATCTTCGGAAATCTGTTGAAAAGTCTAATTGGGAAGAAGGAAATGCGAATACTCATGGTGGGACTTGATGCTGCTGGAAAGACCACCATCTTGTACAAATTGAAACTTGGAGAAATTGTGACCACCATCCCCACAATAGGTATCTGAACACAACACTCTATTGCTGTCTGTGATGTCCTTCCCTTTGCATAGTTCTCCTTTCATAAACACTGCATGAAGGTCAATCTCTGTACATGACTATTTCCCCATACAAAACTGATGTTAAGATACAGTTCCCTTTTCTGATCACTGGTGGTGTGAATGCAATTGTTTTCCTTTTAGAGAAGTGTTGGTATGGCACTAAATAGCCTTTTGCTTTTGTAGGTTATCCTAAAGTGGCCAGCTGGAAGCACTTTTGTAGCTCCGTACGACGTACGTCCTTGGCAGCGAAAGGGTTAAAGCTCAATTCTGGGATTCTTACTTCAATCTTGGTGTGCTTTGTGTATTTCTTTCAGATCTGTGTTGTAATCCAGTGTGAAACTTTAAAGCTGGGTATACACACTTCAAATTTCACCCGGTTCTTGGTGCATACAAAGTGGATTTATATCCTTGAGGAATATATTTTAATAAACGTTTTGTGTCTGGAGTTCAGCTTAAACAAATCAGACTTATATTTACACATTATCCAGTGATCTGGTGTTACCAGGGAGGCAGGGCTGAGGAGATATGACTTCCTCCAGCACACCCCTACAGGAAGTGATGACATTAAAGGCAACCCATAAGACTTTTCTCTGTTATAGTGATTTGTTACAGGGCACTCATATAGTATTTTTCACTAGTATATATTTAAGGCAAACTGTTAAAGGGACATTAAAGGATAACACATTTTCCCCTCCCCCCCATGTTAATGTCAGCACTTACCTTAAATGATGTCTCTTAATCCGATCTTCCTCTTCTTTCCCCATGTTTTCATCTGTCCCTCCAGCGGTGCGGCGGCTCTCCGATCCAGCTCTGACTCCTCTCTGCTTACAGGCACTTCCGATCCATCGGTGTCTGCAGGCGGGTGCACGCTTCCATAGACTTACCTTGCGTCTCTGCTTGTCTCCCGGCCGAGAATCCGAACTGCGCATGCGCCCGCCCCAAGATCCTTTGCGGCCGCACGAACAGTTCCGGACTCTCGCCGCGGGAGCGCGCAGCGATAATGAGGTCAGTCTAAACCGCTGTTTAAGCGTTTTGTTTTTAAAAAAAACGTTTTGCCTATATCTACTGCTTGTCAGCAGTAGATATAGGCCAAAAAACGGGAGGCTTTAGAACCCCTTTAATTATTGCAAGCCCATACTATTTCCCTGGGCAATATGGTAGTACTAAAATGTAACAGGAACAAAGAGTGCTGAATTGTACAGATAGCATCTAAAATAAGACGGATTATATTATGTAAGTGAATGCGCCCCACTGAGAATACAAGACAAGGAATGAAGCAATAGTTTTAAACACAAAAATATCACTCTAAATAATGCACAATCCTACAAAGAATATACAAATACTTAGTTTATCTCAGACGAAATGGAGGAACACACTTGTACAAAAAAAAGACAAAAAGTGCACATGCAAGAAGACATTTTATAAAAGCACTGTACATGTTTTTAGAAAATATTTTCTTGCATGTTTCTTCAGATTGTCTCTCCGAGATATAAATAAAGTATTTTTGTATTCTTTAAAATGACTTTACATTGTTTGTATGGTACATATGGTGCCCCCAGACCCCTAGACAAAGACATGGTCTTTGGCCGATAACTCTATATATGGGGCTGGAATAAAATTAAGCCAGATGATATTCAACAGAGAGAACTATGTCTGCCTGAAGATGATACCACCCCCATGAGCCTATAGTGTGTTCTGTAGCCAAAAGAACAGGGAACTGATTGTCTTCTGGGATTAGAACTAAAGTCTGGCTATCACTGAAAATGACTGGTTCTTTTGACCAGCAAGGCTCATCATTTTTAGCAAATCACATTCTTCATAAAAATGTCCTGCAGGACATTTTTATGAAGTGTGGCCGTCGTATGCTGTCAGAATACCCGAACAGAGGCGGCAGCTCATTGTTCATACCCAAATTTTCTGACCGGCTCCTTCGATCAGCTGATTGAGGGATGCCAGCCGAAAAGAACCGTCCGAAATTCACACAGTGTATGGCCACCTTAATACACATTTGATTAAATCTGCCCATACACTGTAATAATCTTCGTTCAACCTGTGTGCTGAACGAAGAAAGTATAATCGATTCCTCCATCAATGTTTATGAGCATTGATCGAGGAATCTCACACTGTCTTCAATGTATACTGACGGCGGAAGATAATAAATCGGCAGCTGATTGGCTGCCAACTCTGATCGTTTGAAGATTTTCCAACCAGCTCCTTCGATCAGGTGATCAAGGGATACCGGCCGGAAGGGTGCAGACAGCAGCACCACCTGTGTGCATTTTGAGCAGTACATCAGGAACCGGCTGAAATTCGCATAGTGTATGGCCAGCTTTAGGGTGGCAATGCTGCTCCTCCATACAATGCAGTGAGTGAGGGTTGGCACCATAGAACAGGAAGTGCATTACTGTCACAATCTCCATTAGAAAATAATGCATCATCCACGTCTTAGGACTGGTAAGCTGTAATATTAAAATATTGGTGGGTTTAGATATTCTTTAAGGTTTGAGCAGTTATTAAAATGTTCTTTAAAATATTCTTATTATTAGTGTTTATTTTAGTCACCAGGATTTTCCAAACCACGGTGTAGCTCTGTACTAAAACTGATATAAACATTCATCTGAATGTCGTTGCTACAGACTGCTAGAAATGTCAACTCTGTGTCATCAGTGTGCTTAAAATGCTCCTATTCTGTGTTGTTTATTTAAAGATCATGCTCTGGAAAGATGACAGCACCCGAGTGTTTATAAATCAGAAGGACCTTATATTAAGGGTACATGTCATCAGACTGTGGCTCTACAAGCAAAGAAACGTTGACCTGTCCTGAGACGCTGAAATGTGGTTTCTGGGTTAGGTGAAATGGGTTAAGAGTCCAACTTTTGGGCTCTTAACCCATTTTTGCGAATTTTGACCGATTTTTGATGAACCAGCTGAAATTCGCACATTGGGTGCCGCAGTTGGCACCCCTCTGGCTAGCATCCCTCAGATCAAAACAAACCAGATCATAAGAGCTGTTTGGAACATCTTTGGCCAAACAAAGCTTGAAGGCAATCAGCTGCAAACTCCGTTCGGGTGCTGTCAGAATACATTGATAACAGAGGGGGATTCTTCCATCCATGCTCGTAACCACTGATGAAGGAATCTGTTATATTCTCTTTGTTCAGCCCACTTTACTTTAGTAGAAATGACAGCACACTTCCAAGGTGTAAGACCCCTTTCATTGGCCTGGCTGCCATCCTCATGAAAGGGTCTTCTGCTGTTTTTGAAGCTTGCTATAATTTCCTCTACAGTTAGCCATTAAAGGAATTGTCCTCATTTACTCTTGTTAGTTTGTCCAAAAGTATGACTCTTGATCCATGTTGTTACAGTATTCCTCCACTAAGCTGGTGACTGTAGTTCTTCCCTTAAAGTGCACATACATGGCTCAAGATGGCAGATTAAGCTTGTTTAGGCTTTGAAATTAAACATGAACACAATCCTTAGAAGCTTTCTGATTTGGAAGTGAGCTTTTTAAATCAGATCTAATAAAGTCAGCACAGCAAGCTTACTTCTTCATATGATTTGAGATGTGTTTCTAATATGCAGATAAACCTTTCCATCATCCTCACAGGCTTTAACGTAGAGACTGTAGAGTACAAGAACATCAGCTTTACTGTCTGGGATGTGGGTGGCCAAGACAAGATCCGACCACTGTGGAGGCACTACTTTCAGAACACTCAGGGTATGTGTATTTGTGTATTTTTATGTATGTTTTTACATTTTCTACAATGATATCATTGTTCTGGAATCCTATTAATATATTATAATAAATGGTCAGATTCCCTCAAACCTAATAAATGGGTTTTGATTGGGAAGGGTAAATGCTGAATCCCCCAGTGTTTTTTTTTTATAGCTGTCTGGGTTAGGAGCAGGTTAAACCTGCCACTCCCTTTTCCTATGGCTATGAAAGGCTTCACTGCTATTACTTTAATTAACATAGAAATACATGAAAAATCCAACATATAAGTCTAACCTTGATGCTTTGCATGAACAAGGCCCATCATGGAATGCTTGGGAAGAACTCTCCACATGGGTCCCTAAACCTTTAGAAGCCATTTTGCGCCACTGCAGCTGAAATTGAATAATCTGTTTTCAGTGGATACAACAACCTTTTAAAAAACTTTTTTTTTTTTAACTTTAGTTCTCTTTTGGGTCACAGGAGTATATTTACCCAAAAGTCAGCATATAGCAGGCTACTGCCCTGAAAGGAGTTTGAATCCTTCCTTGCTCTATCCAAAACTAGAAAAAATGTTTTTAGCTTGGCATAAACTTTCATTAAAGTCTCACATTTGACAGGTAGCAGCTGACGCTGTGCCACAAGCACTGAGAGCGCCGCAGCCGATACGGATCCCGACAATACTGTCAAGATCCACCCAGCTGGCTGATTGACAGTGGACTCTGCCTATGTAGAGGCAGAGCCAGCTGTGCCCGCCCCCTCCCCCATCCGTTCCTCCAGTCAGTGCAGGGAGATGATTGGAAATTGAGCGATCAACGGTATGAGTTCGCTCACTTCCCGATCTATAGAGTTGGCGTGTGACAGCTTCTTTGTCACATGTCGGCTCTAACTATGAGGAGGAGTAAATCACTCACCCCATAGTTCTCCTTTAAGTAAGGATTAAAGAAGCTTCCATATGGACATCAGCTGATAGTTTCATTAAGGGGGCTAGCTGGCTACATAGACCACATAGTGACTGACCACATAGTGTTCAGTATGGCTGATTGCTGCAGGAAACAAAGGTGTTTGTCATTCCCCTAATAATTAATATCCTTTCTTTCAGAATCTGTAATTCCCCTAATAATTAATATCCTTTCTTTCAAAATCGAAGTGGCACTTGAATAATTACAATTTAGACATATTTTTATCTCCAGTTTGCATAAATTGGGCAATTGATCCTCGTACCTGAATATATTCCAATTGGTCTGTCATGTCTTATTCCGAAGAGTTATATGAGAGATTGCTCCCAAAGTGCGTGTATATTTGGAAGGTAAACTAATGTGATATTGATTTAGAAACTGATGGAATTAACAATTGTAGAAGGACAGTAGAACATAATGATTTGTGTCTTTCTGCTTTCTCAGGCCTAATTTTTGTGGTGGACAGTAATGACAGAGAGAGAGTAAATGAGGCACGTGAAGAGTTGATGAGAATGCTGGCAGAGGATGAGCTTCGGGATGCTGTGCTGCTCGTGTTTGCAAATAAACAGGTTAGTATGATTTGTGATTAAGGAAATGTAACTATAGGAAGCATGCTAATAATATCCCCATATCTCACAAACAGCAATATAGAGTTTCTGAAGTAAAGCATGTACACTTGAAACCTTCACAAAGTTGCACTGCCTTCTAACTCTGTACCCATGCATAGTCAAGTAGCTACATTTATGTCTATAGTGGAGTAAAAGTGGTATTTCACAGCAAGTCTCTGCAAGGAGTTTGCAGGTTCTCACCTGTGCTTGCGTGGGTTTCCTCCGGGTACTCCGGTTTCCTCCCATATTCCAAAGACATGCTGGTAGGTTAATTGGCTCCTCTCTTAAAAATTGGCCCTCTGTATGCATTTGAGATAGGGACCTTAGATTGTAAGCTACTTGATTGTAGGGACTGATGTGAATGTGCAACTATGTAAAGTGCTGCATAAATTGTCGGCGCTATATAAATACCTCTAATAATAATAATAAGTAAAAAAACTCTGGTCTAACTGGAAGGCATGAGGTTAGTTATGAAATCACTACATTTAACCAATGAACTATTTCCTTGTAATAAGAGGTGAGCTAATATGATGTCCAGACCTCACATCATTAAGATGTTTTGCCTGTGACCATCTTCTCTAGCACAGAGCTGTGGAAGCTCCTGTTGTACTGTGTGACCTTAGGTTGTTTTTCCGGGATTTAGGCCTTCTTAGTTGTGGCTGACTAATGGCAAGAGGCCATGTCCGGGAACAACAATTTAAACAGCTAGATGTATGCATATCATGGGCACACAGACACCACAGAATTGTTTGTATATTTTTTTATAAGCTTTTTTATATCCTTTTATTATGGTTACTTTTGTATTTATTTTAGATACTGTATGACGTTTTTGAGTTATTTTATGTACACATGCAAGTAGTTGAGCTAAACTGACAATAAAAAACGTATCAGTTCCCAAATTCTCAGTATAGTGTTTACATCAATGTCTGAGCATACTCAGATAGTAGGGCATGCAGCATGTGGTATAATACATTGGGGGGCATTTATATTGGTGGACTGGCTCACAGTGTATATTGGCCACCCCATCACAGAACCACCCTGTGTCCTCACAGACAACAGAAGTAGAAGTAAGTCACGTGTTAAAGAACCCTTTTTCTGTTATCAGATCATTTTCACAAAACTTTTTGAAAGCAGGTAGCTTTTAAAATAGGATAAGGTAAATATCTGCCAAAAAATAGTTACTTTATTGTTTGGTGGTAATTAAGAGGTTAATCTAGGTTTATTGCTTAGGGGTTCAAGCAGAAACACAAGACAGCGCCTTCTCCTCTTGTGACGTCGTTTTTATTTTTGCAGAATTAAAACAAATAAAAAACTACTCACATATACACAGTGGAGACAAGCCATGTAATTAAACATACGTCCAGGGCAGAGCTAAAAAAAAATCTCCTTTAGGGGTAGGTTTTAGTGGTCAGTTAAGGGAGTTGGGGGGATAGGTTAAGTGTTAAAGTGGACCTAAACTCAAAAAGTGCTATGTTTAGGGAACAGTTACAAATGTTAATTGTGCCTAAGCAGAACCCCCAAAAATCTACCCTTTGTCTTGAATTCCTCCAAAAAAGAAAAGCAGTGAACTTCCTTGTGGAGCGCGTCTAGGCACCCCTGTGCCTACAGCATCATAGTTGTATATCTGCAGTGTGAGATCAAAGGCACTGCTAGCCTTTATCAGGAGATTTGGCATGAGATTTGGGGGGAATCGCCCGCCATCCCGCCCAGATTTTTTGTTAATAGCTGTCATCAGTGGCTTTTTATCTGTTGATGACAGCTATTATTTTACAGAGGACTGTCAGAGGAACCATTCTGGTGTAAGTTCATGGTAGCTAAAGCGACCATGAGCTTACAGCAGAACGGGAAAAGCCACCGACGTATGGCATACTGGTGTGGCCAGCTGCAAGAGCTTGTGTTCCGCCATATGCCGTACTTCAATGGCAGCGAAAGGGTTAATGCAGCACCCCAAGCAAAATGTTTTTAAAATCTGCAGTAAAAAAAGTTACGCCTCATGAGGTGTATGCCACTTTAAGTATTGCTGTCATTTCTTATAATATTTACATAGACGTAATTTCCTATAATATAATTATAGTTTCATACAATTTCCTATGATAATAGCTCTCGCTATACTTCCGCTGTTGCGACTATGAAAGCTGTGGCTCTCATACAATGAGGCCACAGTGTAATTTGCCTGCACCTCCTCTCCCCTTGCCCATTCATAGAACGCGTTGTATTCTGTCATATGAGAGCATGAGCAGTGGGCAGGAAGTATAGTAAGATCTAAACACTGCTGGCTATTATCAATGACAACATTCAATGTTGGGAGGAAGCTTAAAGTATTACTAAAGGCAGGGCGCTTTTTACCTTAATGCACTCTCTGCATTAAAGGAGAACTATGGGGTCAGATCTTTTCTTGATCTACTGAGCCGACCTGTGGCAGTCTCATTGTAACAGGTCGGCTCACTCACCTCATAGATCTCCTTTAAGGTAAAAAACACCCAGTACCTTACTACGTCCCACATCCCTCCACATTTACCTGACAGTGCCGCTTGTCAGTGCTGACGGTCCCTGAAGCGAACTTCCTGGTTGCGGGGGAGGAGATTGAGGGCAGAAGAGCCATATTCTCCTTCTGCCGTCATTCAACCTGTTGGGCTGAGAGGAGTAGCGTGGCCTGCCGCAGGGCTGTGTGTGTCTGTGGGCGCACACAGCCACTTGTGGGCACGGCCGGGAATGAGTATGCACGGGTGCCTCCACAGCAGCTGCTTAGCTGATGGCGGCCCCCGTGTTGGGGGCAGGGAGAAGAGTGCTGCGGGGACCCACCAGAGAACGAGGAACGGAACATTTTTCATTTAAAACCGCAAAGTAGTTTTAGAGGTATGGGCCTCCTCTTTATATATAAAAAAAATTGAAGCTTTAATTCCCATATTAAGTACAAAGTCATTATTTTAGGGGATAATTAAGTGTTTAGTAAAGGCAGGGTTACAGAAAGTGTTGGGAGAATGCCTTAATGTAGGGAATACATTTGTTTAATAACTCTTAGTGAAGGTACAGGTTTATAACTACTACTTTTATACTACCAGCTCTGGACTCCCGGAGCCAAGAACAAAATAATCAATGTATTGTTAGTTTTGCATGTTATTCTAAGGGAATTTACAAATGCAGCATTGTTTTTCTTTCTGACCTGGAGGTTATGCTATAAAGTGCAGATATCTTGACAATCAAATAAGTGCTGTAGTAAAGTTATGTGAAGCATAGTCTCTGCGTTTGTGACATTGACGCACTTGATGGATCTTCTAGCTGACTGTCGCACTAACTGTGTGCATCAGATTCTGTAGTTCAGATTTGGGAAGACATGCAAAAGCATTTTGATACTTACACTTAATCATTCCCTTTTTCATTTTTGTGCAGGACCTTCCCAATGCCATGAATGCTGCTGAGATCACAGACAAGCTGGGCCTTCATTCTCTTCGTCACCGCAACTGGTACATCCAGTCCACCTGTGCCACCAGTGGAGATGGTCTCTACGAGGGGCTGGACTGGCTAGCCAACCAATTAAAGAACAAGAAGTAACGACTCCAACCCCTACCTCTGCCTCCCCAGTGTGCTCCTGACTCTTTCTCCCCAATCCCTTCCATCCAAAATTCCCTCCTCAGCCAGAGCAGGATGGGGCTGGCTTCTGACACAGACCACCCCATCCCTTCTGGTCCCACACTCGCTTACTTTGCCGTTTTGATTTGGGGTGTTTTTATCGGGTGCCGTGTTTCTTCTGACTCATCCAGCTGCTGTTACTTGCTCTTTATTTGTCCTTTTGGAGATTTTGGGTGGGGGAGGACTTGTGAGATTTGGCAGTACATGCCATAGCAATCTACCCCCTGTAGACAGGGTCGGTAAGGCAAGGATTCGGGAGCTGTGCTGTTTTGTGTCTGTATGTTCTGTTGAAGCTCCCTGAGCTGAAGACTGAGAGATGTATTTGGCTTATCGTGTTTGTTTTTCAAGGCAGGTTGTTTCAGTGCTTCATACAAGACAGTTTAGTGGTGCAACCAAGTAAACTGTACTTTCCTTTGTTTTGAAGAAAGGGTTCATCAAGGTCTTAATATTCAATCAGTGTAACTTGAATTACTACCGTAAGGCCATTGTATAACCTATCCACCTTTTATTACAAGACTGGATAATCTGTAATCTGCTGAATATGGATCTCATTCCAGATATCTACTGTGGTATAAACCAGCACAGAGTTTACACTGCAGTGCTGAAATGGAATTCTGCCACTCTTGCTCTCCACTTTGTGGCACTCAAGAGTTGGCTTTATTCTCTGTTTGAATAGAGGTGTTAAAATAAAAATGTTTTGAAATAAAGATTCAACGGTTGTAATCAAAATGGATGTGGAATGCTCTGATTGTTACTGCTGACTGCAAAAGCCATAGTATTTCCTTAGCAACTGTCTTGAGCCAGTGGGAGAGTTAAATGTATATGAACTGCGCATGTGGGTTGTGCTTTTGATTTCTAAACACCTGCTGTAATGAAATAAGAGGTTATTTGAGCACATTGTGCTCTAGTAGTTAAAGCCTCACCACCCTTATTTATAATGATTGGAGCAGCTCCCAATGATGTCACTGTAACAGTCTACACTCCTCCTGTCAGTTACATCACTGGGAGTCCATCCAGCTGCTGGTAAAAAAAAAACACATGCATCTATTTGCATTAAATGTTACTAAAAATGTTTATAATCTGCGATGACATTTCTATTCAAACTTGGTGGTTGTGAAATCTTCCTTTTGTTTTTTTTCCTGTATGCTTTATCATGATAACTCTTCTGTATATGAAAGAAAACAGAACATTGTGCTCATGGTTTTAGGGTGAATCGATCTGCAACTTGTTACTCTCTGTGAAGCAAAAGGCATGACAGGGATTTAGTGTTAAGGTGATTCATCTTTACATCATAGATTCGAAACAGATTTTCCAAGTGACCTTTTTTTTTCTGTCTGCAGAATGTTTTCAGATGGAATAATGGGGATTCTTTTTTTTTATGGGAACAGGGAATACAGAACAAAATTATTTGTCGTATTATTTCTAATATATTGTGTCTTTTGGACATACGGTGGATGTTTGAAGTACAAAATGGATAGCTAAGCATCATGGGAGATGCGATTCAACAACAACTTGAATGCCAAATGCTGCACATCTTGCTGAGGAACATTTCTAAAGGTAACTAACAAGAACTCTATCCAAATCTGATCATTTAGTTGCTAACGGTGGATGATTAATCCATCTTGTGACTGTGTTTACATTCAGCTCCGGAGCCCTGGTGTTCTACTGTCAATGTGTCAGAAGATTCCCTGTTACATTTGATGAGACAAATCTAAGTCTGCAAGTGGAGTATTAAAAAGATTAAGGTGTCCATTTTACCCTCAACCAGATTCATATTTCATTTGGGTTTGCTTTCTGTACTCATAGGTTAGATTTTTTTGCCTTGATGAGTCACGAACCAATTACAGTTATGACTGGAGTATTCCATAAAAGAAAAGGAATGTTTGGGATCTTGCCTGTAACACATGTCTAACCATTCTATTATATTTGCTTATGAATAGGTCCAAAAAGATATAATAAAACCTTTTATTAAAGCCTTCCTCTGGGGAAATTAAGACTTCCCTTGCAGAGGGGCTACCCCTGCACTGCAAGGGTTGACTGCTCGTTAAAGGGGTTCTAAATCCTCAGTTTTTTTTGCCTATATCTACTGCTAGCAAGCAGTAGATATAGGCAAGAAGTTTAAAAAAAAACAAAAACGCTTTAACTAGGTTTAAACTTACCTCGTTATCGCTGCATGCTCCCGTGCCGAGAATCAGGAACTGCTCGTGCGGCCGCAAAGGATCTTGGGGCGGGCGCATGCGCAGTTCCGATTCTCGGCTGGGAGTTGAGCAGAGACGCAAGGTAAGTTTATGGACGCGTGCACCTGTGTAAGGGACTTATACTTGCCTGATTCCCGCTACTACAGGCTTTAAGACCAGTGGCCGCAGGCCCCACACCCCTCTGCTTTGGAGGTCACAGGCCTGCATTTTATGTGAAAATGCCGGGGCACAGTCTACAAGCCAGGGTGTAGGCGGGGTGAGGTGAATGCTGACTGCAGGTTTCCGGTAACTAAAAGTACTTTACACAGATCCCCTAAACATTAAAGAGCAGTTAACCCATGCACTGCAAGGGGAGTTTTTATTTCCTTGGAGATAGGCTATATAGAATCCTTGTGACAAAGTCCTATACTAAATCAAGTAGGTCTGATTCAAATATTAAAGTGAAGTATATAGAGGTAACTTGTTGAAACAAAATAAAGCCTAATATCAAAAGTCTTTTGGTGACCATAAGTACCTTAGTATGCCTAGTATACAAAGAAACCTTATTTGTGCCCCAGGTAGTTCCATGATCCCGAGTCCACTGTTTACAAAGGCTAAAGTTTCACCCTCCTACAAAAAAAAAAAAAGAAGGCACCCTAGCTAGCAATAGAGACACTCTCATTGATTTGTTAGAATCTGGGGTGTGACTTCAGCACTGAGAAGGAGCTGAGCTTGAAGCTATTGCAAACCCTGCATCTTGGATTGTGGGCTGACTTATGGGAAGAGGTTACTTTGTGTAGGAGGAACTGGTAAGCACCACAAAGTGTCTTCTGCTAGGCTTATTGTCCTTTAATACTCATTAACAATATGTGGCTGGTTACCTTTATGAAGTACTGCAAAGCTTGTCATTCATGTCAGTATTTCAGCACAACTCCACTGCAATAGCCAAGCGTAGTACTACTTGAAAATATTGGCCAGGGTATCATTAATGTAGCAATTGTGTGGTGTGGTGAAGACATGCCCCTTTTGCTGGTGATTTGGTAGATGCATAAAGCTGTGCTACCATGAAATATATTTAAAAGATGTATAGAAACTGCAGTTTCTGCCAGTAGAAATTAGGAACACTTTGCTCTATATAAGCTCCTGTATTTTTCTTGTCCTTTCTAATAATTGCAAAAAGCACTATCCAGAACTCAGATTTCTTCTTTTGACTTGTCTTATTATTCTAAATGTCCATTTACATTATATTAAGAATATCTCAAGCATTTCAGTATTACTATTTTCTCATTGTCTTAATAAAGTCCTCAGAATTTAGGTCCATCTTTCATTGTATAGGTCTATACTTTACATTCTGTGTTATTTTCAATACAGTATTTAGAATGCCAAGATTAGACACAACATAGAAATCCATAACTTTTAAGTTGAAGTAAGATTGTATTAATCAGATCACATACCAACTGATCTGAATTATCAGCTGGACCACATTTCACATTGATGTATGTATCAAAAGGGGTACTTGAACCAGGTTCAGCTGGCAACAAGAACAATCCATTACACCTATACTTTAATCAAACAAGTCCTTGCAAAATATATTGGTCACCTGGTGGTGAGTTTAATATATGAAGTTAGTGATAACCTGTGAAATAACACTTTGTAAACCAAATAAATGATACTGTTATGTCCTATAAATGACAAAATTCCAACTGACCATTTAATGCATAGTAAACCATGCATCTACTGCATCAAATATGTAGTTTTTTACTTGAGAACACATGGAATCTACACAGTTTGAGGGTGGATACATAAATGTACACATGCTAAGGGATATTTGAGATAAGCCACCAGAGCCACAAGAGGATCAATAGGGTAAATTATGGGTTTGAAAAGGGCACATTATTTATAGAGTTCTAAAATGGTGAGCTTGATGGTCAGCTGGTAGGTAGGCCATCATGAATGACTAAATGTGACTTTACATTCATGCCTTTAGAGTTCCTCTAGAAACACACAACACGTCTCTAATGCCATTTTGTCATTTATATGACATAACAGTATCATTTATTTGGTTTACAAAGTGTTATTTCACAGGTTATCACTAACTTCATATATTAAACTCACCACCAGGTGACCAATATATTTTGCCAGGACTTGTTTGATCAAAGTATAGGTGTAATGGATTGTTCTTGTTGCCAGCTAATAAGCACCTGAAAAATAAATTAAAAAAATATATGATTTGTTGCTGTCAGCAACAAAAGTAGATCTAGCTCAATGTACCCTACTAAAAAAGATCCTAGGGGCATATTTATTAATAAATAAATAAATCGTGTGCCTGGATTTAACCAGTTTGGTTGACATTCACCCGTTGGGTGGAGAAGGAAGATGCTGAAGCATGCAAAAGGAAATTTTAAATAAATTCCTCATTTTTAGGGTATTGAATGCATTATGAGGCGCCAACTGGATCGCCAATGACAGGTTTTTCCTTAGCAATCAATGCTGAATCACCGATCGAATGAATGGTTTGGCATTTAAAAATGAAGGCCTCTTTAAAAGAGATCAGAGTCGAGTCAGTGAATTTAATATTGGTCATATTATTTTTTTTTTAAATGCTAGACAAAAGCCTGATCTGCTGGCCTAAGAAATCTTTCTTTTCCTGTTCTGACTGCAAGCACTGCCGCTCCATCCACTGTTGGGTGACTTATCTCTTGGCACTTGTTTTATTTCTAAACAACATAGAACACAAAAGCAGCCTTGGTATCAGATACCACTAGAATATTTGCTGTAAGATGGCCCTGGTTACTTAAAGGAGAACTATGAGTCGAGTGACGTGACTGTCACTCACGGCTCCCTGCAGGGATTCCCACCCTCCCCTGTCCGGGATTCCCACCCCCCTGTCCGATCCTCCAGCGTTGACTGGTGGAACGGACGGGGGAGGGGGCGGGTACAGCTGACTCTGCCTCTAGATAGGCCGAGCCAGCTGTCAATCACGCAGCTGGGTGGATCTCGACAGTGATGTCGGGATCCGTCCCGGCTGCGGCGTCTCAGTATACCGCGAGCTGTAGCTCGCAATATACTGAGCTTTGGGTGACGGGAGGACGTTAGTTTGTGTCCTCTTGTTACCCTTAGGAGAACTATGGGGAAAAGCCCTGACCCCATAGTTCTTCTTTTATATGGGTTAGCAGGAAAAGTAGATACTACAGGTCAAAAGAGGAGGAGACAGGTGTACTGTACATGACTGGATACCATGTGGCAGTATGTGGCACCTCTTTTGCAGGGCG